GGTTTACTCATACCATAAACGGTAACGTGACGTATGTCAAACACCTTAATAAATAATCGAAATGGATTACTTTTATTTACTGATTTGCACAATATTTACTTGTATTCTGATCGGTCCATTATAATTCTATTAAAGAAAGTGCAAAAATTACAACATTCTCCAATGAAATCAGCGGTTTCTGATTCAAATTCTATAAACTTAAAATATAAATATTTCGCATAACTTAAAAAACTATATGTTACAATCTTAGCTACAATCCAATTATTTGGACGTTTTTTTGGAAAATTCTTATATTCGTGAACACGCCGTCTATGAGACACCCACGTCAGTAGTTAAAGGTTAAGTAATAAGATATTTAACCTTATTTCATTGCAGTACAGTTGAAAATCTACTAATTACCTACAGTTGAGAGTTTGTTTATTTAAGTACCTACTTATGGAAGAGGAAAACGCAATGTTCATTGGCGCATATTTGCGTGTACGATCATGTTTCGACTGGACAACTAAAGGTTAGCTGTATAGTACTTATTCTACGAAAACTTCAAGATGACTATACAATATTTGATGTCAAAACAAATTAATATAATGTGTTTGCAACATCAAACAAGTCTGGAAGTCCTTGGGGGAGGCCTATGCTCAGTGGTGGACGTCCTATGGCTGAAATATATATTTATTAATTAAATGGTACATCAACAAAAATTTTAAGTGTGGGACAGCCATGCTTCGGCACGAATGGGCCGGCTCGACCGGCCTCCGATAACCTCACTCACACTGGGCTCGCTGCCATCGCAGCGGTAAGTCCCCTCTTTGAGGAGTGGCTTGAGAGACGCTACGGCGTCCTCACCTACCGCCTGACGCAGGTCCTCACCGGACATGGAAGTTTCGGGAGGTACCTGTGTCTGATGGGGCGGGAGGAAACGCCCGGGTGTCATCACTGCGAGGACCGCCCTGAGGACACGGTGGAACACACGGTGGGAGAATGCCCTTCGTGGGCTGAGCACCGCCGTGTCCTCAGGGAAGTGATCGGCGATGGCGACCTCTCGCGTCCGGGCCTAGTGCAGGCCATGATGCGGAGCGAGGGGGATTGGGATGCCGTCTCCTCCTTTTGCGAAGCAGTCATGCTAGCTAAGGAGGAGGCGGGACGCGTGAGGCAGCGAAGCGCTGCCTCCTCGCAACCCAGCCATCGCGAAGGACACACCGGGCGTCGGGGATCGCGGGACGATCTCCGGCCACCGTAAGCGCGGGCCTGCGGACGGCGAGCATGGGTGGCTCCCCGTCCGACCAGAAACAGACCCGAGCGTACGGCGCGTCGCGTTCCGCGCGCGCCTCAAAGAGCCATCAGACCACCACAGATGGGGCCCAATAGGGCCGATGCCGATTCGGAGTCGCGGAGAACCTAACGGGTAACCGGGGCTCCGGCTCGACGTGCAGGAGAAGGAACGGGGTGGTTTTTAGTCAGTAAGAGTCTGACACTCCCTCCCGCCTCACCCAGGCGGGGGCAGTCATTCGATGATTTTCCCCCATTAAAAAAAAAAAAAAAAAAAAAACCTCACTCACACGACGAAACACAACGAAAACGTTGAATAGAGCAAATACTGAAAGAAGGATTTTCTTTGAGGAAATTTTCTCAAAAAACCTGCAGAAGTACACGTAGGTGCACACTGCATGCAGGTTATAACTAAGTAACACCTACTTTCCACCAGATATGTGCTGAGATATTTTCCTCTTTGAAGTACATACATGCAATTAATTGGACTTTAAGACCAGTTGCCCAGTAAAATCCAGTTGGAAAAACCCACTGGGACTATCGGAAATCAAATCCAGTCTAACGGGATAATTCACTTGTTTTAATTACAAGTAAGTACTCAATCAATTGAAAACAAGCATTTACTAGCGGTTTTTCCCAGCTGCTTCAGTAAGATTGTATTTCTTGATATTCCCACTACTAATAAACAACAAGAAAAAAAATAAACCGATTTGATCGAGTTTTAACGGGTTGTTGTTTGATAACAAAGTAACATTTAAATATGATACAAAAAAAATAAATTCGCACTATTGTCTTTAAGGTGTAGATATTCAACTTTAAGGTTTTGTAATAAGGTTGAAATCTATGAAAAAAACTTTATAGTCTGATGTAAGCCATTTTGCTTGGTATACAAAGGACAGACTTAACCGGTAAAACTCGCAAATCTAGTATGTAGTACGCATGTGTATTGACTTTATTATTCACATATTAACATCAGCTAAATATTTATGTTTAATTGACCCCTGCCGTATAAAATCTTCCTAGAAGTAACTCATAAGAAGATCAGAAGTAAGAATAAGATTGTCAAACTGGTTACGATTCCTTGATCGAGACAAATTAAGAAGGTTATAATTATTCATAAAAAAAAGTAAAAACCCAGAAGAGGAAGTCAAAAAGTTCATTTTCAAAAGAAAACAAGTATTTAGAAAAAAAAATTTTTATATCTTGACAATAGGTCGAATCAAAACAATAGATCCTGGAAGATCATTAAGCTAAGCCTGAGGTTACTCTTGATCCAATTTTGATCGACATTGATATTAGACTAGGGCCCATTGCATCCGTATTGCGTGGATATTTAATGAACTAAATGGTATTGAGTTTAGCTTTATATTCTATACTCTGATTGTTATTTAACAGCTACGATTTGGGTTGTGTAGTGTTGACATTAAATAATTATTGAACCCTGTTCTGAAGCCTTAGTACGAGTTTGTTTTACGTTTAAAGTAATCGTAATGAGTACGCGTTCAGCGCTCTGATTCGTTGCTTCATTGGTGCCGGCCAATCAGATTGCCGAACGCATACTCGTTTCGAATACTTAAAACGTAAATCAAACTCGTACTAGAAGGGTTCTGATCATGAATGTGATGGAAATTACAGAAATCTGTAAGAGTAAAGCCCCGGATACACTAGGGGACAAATGGAGCAACATGTTGCGGAACATGTTCCTCAACTACGTGGAATGTGCCGACATACATGTCGCGGAACATTTTGTCGACCACACTACTCAGTGTTTATAGAAATGTCGCCCGAGGAGGTTGTGGCTATTAGTGCTGCGTACATAGTAATTATATCGAGTGTGTTGAAACGTAAGAGAAAGAGAAGGTGGTGGATGCGGAATGTCTTATTACAACGAGACAGTCACGACTTTCGTAAAGCTCTATAAGCGAAAGCACGGTATCATTTCCCCACACTACAGACATTTTAAAGGCACGTTGCGTACGCGGCTACACTCAGTGACAAATGGCGCAACACTGACACGGGACACGTGCGCTCGCTCTCGAATCGGGAGCAAGCAACATGCCCCGCGTCACGTACCATGTTGTGGGTCATGTTGCGGGACACTATGTAACGTTGCAGCGTCACGTATATTTTGTGTTGCGCTTCATGTTGCGGAACAAAATGTTCCCTAGTGTATCCGGGGGTTAAAGGTCTCTGCACACAGCGGGCGCGGTGCGGCGGGTCGGGACGGCGACGCGACGCTGAGCAGTTGTAATGTACTAGATATTACGGACGACGCCACACAGAGCCGCCGGTTACCGTCGCGTCGAGCGGGACGGCTCTTAAATCCCCTTAGGGCAAAGGAATCAGTTAATGTTTTCCTGTAGGTATGTATTTCGTAATTACATATATACCTACGTCGAGACAGCTAGAAAAAGGTTACCCAAGGCTTGCTATAGCGTCTTATCTCGCATCTGCGTCACATCTTGCATTCCGTTTTTCACACAGAATCCAGTTTCTGAGAGAAATCTCATTTGACGTCAGACCTGGCGAACGCTCGACAGCTAATGATAGTATGGAAACCGCAATGTACCGTGTCGCCATTTGCAATGACGTAGGTGAGTATGCAATTGATGACGTGTTGGGACGGGTAGATGCGGAAGATTAAATATGTTTGTAGGTATGTATTTATGTGGTAGAACACATCATCAACACGTCATCAACAGCCTATAAGTGGCCACTGCTCACCAAAGGCCTCTTTTCACCCGGAGCAGGTTTGAGCATTAATCACCACGCTTTATCAATGCGGGTTGGCGATTTCAAACTTATAGTTATAAATTATAAGCCCAGGTTTCCTTACGATGTTTTCCTTCACCATTTGTCAGTGGTGTCTAAATAACCTTACAAAGTACATATAACTCGGAAAATGTCACATTGGTACTTGCCGTTGGTAAGTTTCGAGCCCGCACACTCGTGTAAGAGGAGCGGGCGGCGGAACAAGGACATTCAATTATCATTAGAACATATGTAGTTATCCATTGCACTTTTACCGCCTTGTTCAGAAATATTACAATATACTTTTTAAGGATTTTTTTTAAGGGGGAAAACCATCGAATGACTGCTCCCGCCTGGGTGAGGCGGGAGGGAGTGTCAGATTCTTACTGACTAAAAACCACCCCGTTCCTTCTCCTGCACTTCGAGCCGGAGCCCTGGTAACCCGTTATTTTGAGGATATCCTCCAAAACTTTGGATGAATGTTTTCATACTCTTTCATGCAAAAATCTAATGAATGAAATTAGTCACAGAGCTAGAAGTTTAGAAAACAGGCTACATTTTATCCTGAGTATGCGGGCGAAACCGCTGGATAAAACTAATGCCTACATTATCATTGTTAGGTAGTAACATCTACATTACGTATTACAGAAGTACAGTACATAATATAGGACACTTAATAATGTCTAATACTTATCTATTAGTAGGTATCACAATGTACACGTTTTCCTTCCCTATCAGAGAGAGAAATATGTGATGTTATGTTGGTATTGCCTAACGTGGTGCATGGTAATGTACACCATTATTCAACCAATTATGAACCGATTAAGAACCCGACGGTAAACAGTTGACAGCTGTTCTGTAGATGAACAGATAATTTAGATACTCAAGAAACATGTTTGACGTAACGACTATCTTAATAGATTTGTTTACATTGTTATGACGTCATAATATAGTAAACAAGTCATAACATAGTAAACATTTACCTTATAAACGTCTTCATCCTGGTCTCAATGGCTCTGTGACGTAAGCAGACGCTGGTTAGCGCTGTACCAATCTCCTTTGTCGCACCTGTAACAAAAATATAAAGATAAGGAATATTTCAAGTTCGTTGTCAAACAGTTACTTACGTGAATAAGCCGAGTAACTAAGTTTAGAATAGTGTGTGATTGTAGTCTGGCGAGTTGAATGTCTGCTATAGAATTATTGTAATGGCAAAATATATGGTAGGAAGGTGACATGTCTGCCTATGTCAGCCAGCGCTCAAATTGAGGATTATTGACAAAAACTTGAAAATGGATTCATTTATATTTAGGTATAGTAATTCTTTTTAATACCACGAAGCTCACCCTACATGGGACTCATTGCCATTGCTGGTAAAAAGTGTCTCAGTCAACCTGTTCGGGGTTTAAAATGCGTGACGCTAATTTATTAAAATAATTATTCAGCACGTGTTTAAGAAAAATAAATAATTCGTTTCACATAATTTTAATCAATTTTCCTGGATATTATTTAAAATTTCACACGTACATTAGTCTTTGAAACAATAAAATATACTTAAAATACCTACTCTAACATACAGTAATATAATATTAAGCATATTCAATTCTTGGTTTATCAAAAACAAAAGCATTTATTTTGTTATTTTCCTTGTTGCGGTTTCTCTATCGAAATCGTTTCGCGTAAATGTGTATTTTAACAATACAATAATAATATAATGTGTAACTACCCAGTTGTCCTGGGTCCTAAAATTTATAATAAAATACCTAAATCCATACAAGCCTTAAATTTTAACATGTTTAAAAATAAACTCAAACGTTTGTTACATAAGAAATGTTATTATAATATAGAAGATTTTTTGAAAGATAAATTAGATTTGTAATACAATTAACATAATTTTATTGTACCTGTAACGGTTAATATTGTCTTCTGTCTTTTTTGCTTATTTAGTTTTGCATGTATATATTCTTTTCACTACCTGCTTTAATCTATACTTATAATAAATCTGTAGAGAGGTCAATTCTGTACATAAAATATATTTAAAAAATTACTATCAAGGGGTGGTTAGGGATCGCTACTGATGCCAAAAATGCAATTAGTAAAATTTTTGTCTGTCTGTCTGTCTGTCTGTATGTTCGTTATGGAAACAAAAACTACTCGACGGATTTTAACGAAATTTGGCACAATTATTCTTTATACTCTTGGGCAGGTTATAGTATACTTTTCATTATGCTACGATCAATAGGAGCAGAGCAGTGAAGGGAAATATTGGGAAAACGGGACAAGTTACTCCATTCATTAACTTAATACACAAGGAGTTACACGCTGACGGAGTCGCGGGCACAGCTATCTATACTTTTCTGTCGGAAGTCACTATTCCACGCGGACGAAGTCGCAGGCAGAAGCTAGTATTAAATTATAATTTTAAATATTTGTACGCCAAAACGGCATAACATGTAGCTCATACTCCGAACTTAACACCATTGCATGTACTCTTGTAATATTACTCATGTTAACGCAAATAAAAAATATCTTTATCTTTATCTTTATCTTTATCTTGTGCTTTTTTTTATTTCTTCATTTATTTTGTTAAATTATTATGTTTGTTTAATTAATTCATTAAAAAAATCTAAACCATTAATATCTAATTGGTGGCTTGTTCGTCCGCGAGTCACTTAAAGGGCCAGTAGAATACCAGCGCAAGGCCCTGTCATGCACATGCTGAACTGGTCCCATTTCGCGGCAGACTAGGGCCATGAACATGTATCCATCAGTACCTACGAATACAATGAATTATTTGTACATGACACTTGTTATTTGGCGTGAAATAATGTTTTTATTCTTCCTTTCTTCTTTTTTTCTACATATTTAATGTAGTAAGTACTTATAATATGGAGGTATAATTGTGTTAATAATTGAAAACATCCAGGTTGTACTCTTCAGGAAATAAATGCTCTGGCAAAGAGTTCTATAGAACTGATATCAAAAATCGATCTACATCAAAAGATTGAGATAGGTCTTGCGACACCCACGGGAAGAGTAGGGGTGGTGATAATTCTTCTTTGCTGTCGCCACACGGTATAGACATCACATCTCCATGTTTATTGAGGTCAGTTTCAATACACACTACAAAGTACAAGTACCTATGTAATATAATCGGGGAATAACATATACATATTAAAAGTATGAATAAGTCAGTATTCTTGACAACTATGCAAAGTCTTGACCAAATGATTCATAACACAAGTAAACAATTTAACTCGTCGAGGACCGTCATTATAGACACAAGTATAAAACAATAGGTTGCGGTCATCGGTGACCGCTTGGTGTTCGACAGTTTAAATAAAAATGATACGACGGGATGTCTGTATGCGCATAACTTGCGAATGGCTGCACTAAATCGGATGACATACATAACATCACGCCTTTTTATCCCCGAAGGGGTAGGCAGAGGTGCACATTTCGGCACATAATGCCACCGTACAGTGTAACACCCACTTTTCACTATTTATGTTATAAGTCTCATGTAATAGGGGGTGAGCCTATTGCCATATACCGGGCACATTTCCAGACTCCGTGCTACTACTGAGATTTTTTAAGAACCCAGTAATACTTTGCCCGACCCGGGAATCGAACCCTAGACCCCTTGCCCGGCAGTCACACTTGCCACTCGGCCAACGAGGCAGCAAATCGGATGAATTTTAGTTTATTGTTTCTGTCCTGTTTTAACATGGCTGCTTCCTAACTGGCCAGTTTGAGAGCCATTAGGGACTGTCTGTATTTAACTGAGGTCCCGTGCCTGATATGACGATGATGATGTTGATAATCACAAACCTACTTATACCAAATTTCTATTATAATATCTTCTGACTGATTTCGTTGCAGGCACCAAGACAGTTATTAATGTCCCTGAGACGCGCCAGACTTCAGTATAGAATAGAATAGAATAGAATAGAATAATTTATTTGCATTGAATGTAGGTACATAATATAAGGTGTTACAAAGGTACATCGTTCCTGGTACATTCTACCATATGGCATGCAAATTTTTGTTTTTTTTTTTTAATCTTAAAATCTATGAACATTGTGGACTATAATACCTACTATGTAAGTTATCTATAAAACTATTATAATTATTAAACTGTCAAACACCAAGCGGTCACCGGTGACCGCAACCTATTGTTCTATAATTGTGTCTACAAAACCGGTACTCGACGAGTTAATGGATAACATAATCCTAATAATATTTGAAAATTTACAAAATTCACAAAATATAGCTTAAACAACTTACAGCAAATCAGTCTATATGTTATCGAATAAAAAATCTGACACAGAATAGTAACACTTTTGTAATAACAAAGATGCAAGTTGTTTTTTAAAGATTCTCAATGGTTAAATTAAGTAAAAACGCGGGTTACTCACGTGAATATACTGAGAAAAGCTCTACTAGTTTCGAACCACAGAGGGGTTCTTCCTCATGAGCAGCGTGCGCGGTCGCGGCGACGTCGCGCAGCTCACTGTTCGCCTCCAAGACACAGACATTATGATAAGTTTCGACATAACATCGCTATTCACAAATGTTCCTGTAGATGAAACGATATCTATAATTACCAATATACTTAAGGACACTGATTTACCTACTGGGTACATCGCGTGCGTTAATCATTGTCTCACCACAGGTTACTTCCTGTGGAGAGGGGAATACTACCTGCAGGTGAACGGAGTGGCTATGGGGTCGCCACTGGCGCCGGTGGTGGCTAACATCTACATGGAGTGGTTTGAGGGTCAGGCCTTGGCATCCGCCCCGGTACGACCGCGACATTGGTGGAGGTATGTTGATGACGTGTTCGCGATCGTCAACCGGGAACATGTGGCTGAATTTGTGGGACACTTGAACTCGGTGCACGGCAGTATACAATTCACCACTGAAGAAGAGAGAGAAGGGATGTTGCCGTTCTTGGATGTCCTCGTAAGACGAGAAGAAAATGGTCGATTGTCACACACAGTGTATCGTAAACCGACACACACGGACCGGTACTTGCGAGCTGACTCACACCATCATCCCTCCCATCTAGCCGCTGTTCCCCGGACCTTGATAAACCGGGCGCTGAGTCTATGCGATCCCCAGTATATTGACGACGAATTTCACCACTTAAAACGGGTACTG